GGTTGGTCTCTGCCCCGAAGAGCTTGCAATCTCATTAAACTCCTTAAGCTCTAACACTGTGCAAGTGTGAGTGAGACAGCGGTTAGTTCACTGTCTCTTCATAGTTTTTCTTTTTCTTGACTGAAGCCAGCATGTATAGGCCTTATGCAAGTGTTAATGCACAGGAAAATGATTGAATCCAAGACTTGTATGCCTGGAAGAGGCTTCAAGGTGCCACCTAGTCCACTTTCTTGCTCTGAAGTGGGATCAGGTACCTCATGAAATTGGTCTTGAGTGCTTTTTGGATTAACTTTGTGTTACATTAAACCTGGGTTAAAACCCTGCAATTATAGGTATTCAACATATCCTTAGTGATAAGCTACCCTTCGTAGCTAGAAAGCTTTCTCTAATACCTGACTGAACCTTCCCTTAACCCATGGCACCAAACCTGTCTGTAGCTTCTCATATACAGATTAGTTCATGTTTGATCTTGATGGATATGAGGAGTAATTAATTAATCGCTGTTTAAACTTTTATGTAGAGATTTGCATACAGGGATTTTTTTTTAGAGTATCAGCAACCTGTAGGCTTGTTTAAGAGATGCAGTGTCCCAGACAGGAAACTTCAGTAAGCTACTGAAGCTGAAACTCCTCAGATGTCTCCTGAGTGCCTCGGGCCCTAGCATGGGATAGCTGGGCAGGGAAGCATGGGCCATGCTAAAGCCACGCTCCCAGTACTGTAAACTTTGGGTGGCTGCACTGGTTTTTCTCCAGAAGCTATGTGAATTTAAGGAAGCAAATGTTCCTGGGAGGAGTCATTTGAAGAGAGACTGGGAATGTAACTGGGATCTTGCGAGAAGTTCCCCAGTCTTTCCAGTCCAGGAGGTATCATGATTCTGGTAAAGTTTGGATTACTCCTATTTTCAGACTAGTGATTTCACCTAAAGCTGCACTTATTGTCAGCTCTTAACAATTTGCTTCAGCTTCTCCTGCGTTGGCCCTTGGTCCGAGTAATCTTCGATGTTCTCTATCCTTATGATCACTTCATCTCCTTCCACCCACTTCTAATTTCTCTACTACCTATCAGTAGCTCTCAGAGCCTTTTCATTTTCTTTCCCTCTCCTTGCTATTAACCTTGTCAAATACTCTTGTTTCTGTGGTAGAATTGGGAATTGAAAGCATCAGTGCTTTTGGATGAGATACAGTAAGAAAACAGTTTCCCACTTTCAAGTGACTTCACTTCTGCCCCTGGAAAAAGTGCAGAGTTTCAAAAAGCAGGGTCAGTGGATGAGCAAAGTATGAAAGGTCTGAAAGTGCCAAATTCATAACTCCAAGTGAATATAAAATATAGATCCAAGTACATCCTCTGGTTCTGTGTGTCCGATCTGCATGAGGTCTTCGACTTTCTGCAGTGTACCCAGATGGCAGCAATGCAGGAGTGTGCAGGTTTGAAAGTGCCGAGCAGCAAGGTGGGAGCGATGTACTCCTGGCCACGCCGCCCCTCTGAAGTACAAGGTGGTGTAGCTGGCGAGTGTAACTTGGCTGGGTGACACTCCAGCACTGAACCAAGACTTTTGTTTTTAAGCAATTATTTTGTCATAGTCGTTAGGCTTTACTACGTTTAATTTTTTTGACATTACTGGGAGACTTTTTTTTTACTCCTGACATAATTAATTGTCAGAGAGTGGGATGCCAAATTTTTCCAGATGTAAATTATTAATAGACTGGTAGGTCACCAGCACTTTTTGATTATGAGAAGGACATGTTTGTTCAGTACAATAAGGTACGTTCTTATCAATCCATGTTTGACTCTTTCCTCCCCCCTCAGAGTGGAGGGAAAAAAAAGTTAAAAAGCAATCCACTCATAATTCATCAAGACTCTAATCTATGCAGTGATTAAAACTGAGAATTTCAACTTCCCACATTTGTGGTGACAGGGAAATTTTGTCTTTTTGTGGGTTGATAGCTTTAGGAGATAGCAGTGAATCTGTTAAAATGCCTGTCATATCAGCAACATAAATTGCAATGAGTGGTTTTATATTAGAGTGGTTTGTTAATAAAGAATCTTCTATCAAAATGCTGCTATGATTGCGGAAATCCTTTTGTGTGTGTTACCTGGTCTCAGTGACCAGCCAAGGCTCTTAGGACAGCGTGGATGCTGGTGCAGACTGCAGTCATGCAGCATTGGTGTTGTAAAATTGTTTCAAAGGGCTACTGCTCCAAAATTCTGTTTTCTCCCGTTTACTGTGGTGCAAGATACTGCAAGTAAGGATGTGTGATATGATGAATTTGCATAGATTTGTTTACAGGGACTGCAGTAGCTGTGGGAAAGACAACTTTGTTTTCTTTTTCTTATTTGCAATCCCTTTTACGCTCAGCAAAACTCAATGAAGTGGCAAAAGTGTTGACAAAATTCTGCTTTGCTATCCCACTGTTGAATCCAAGGATACTCTTACTCTTAAGTAAATCAGAGGAAATGGGAGCAGAGTTTAGCTAAAATATGTAACCCAGCTTAACTTCTACAGAAGTAGATCTGGTAGGTACTTGGATAATTTTTGTGCAAGCTACTGGTGACCAAAATTCAGATACTTCTCAGTAAGGTGATAGGCAGGCACCACTTCACAGGTTTAGAACTTGATGTTCTTTCTAAATCCCATTTCAGCCTCCTACTTCCTTTGTGGATGTGGCAGTGTCACACACATGTTCTTCTGTGCGTTTTGGGGCATTTGGGTTTTTTTGCTTAATTATTAATTGAGCCTTTCTTATCATTATGCATCATAAAATAAAGTTGTATTTGAAGTTTAGAACCAGCAGTAGTTCTTTCCTTCTACTTTGGGATTCAATCCCAGTGAATGTTCAGAAAGGAAGGGTTTTCCATGAGGTCTTCTGGCAGCTCAGGCTTCAAATTGGCATGTCTGGAAATAGATGCAAAATTTGGTTTGGTTTGGCCTGGAGGTACTTTGATGAAGAGGATTTTTGTGAAATTTCCCAGCAGTGCTGTGTGGCCAGCCCCACTACCAGGAAACATTTTCTTCTTCTGAAAACAACAACCAAATCCAACACAATAGGTAACAAATTTAAACAATTACAGAAAATGCTTTATTTTCAGTAAACTCTATTGTCTTTGATCTTCTGTAGTCTCTGCTTCCCTGTCTGTATCCACTTCTTAAAATGTAATGCAGTTTCTAAAGATCCAGTAGAAATGAAATATGAAATTGAAATAGCAAGAACATACAGCTAAGTAAAAAAAAATTCTTCAGTAGCAGTAACTCGAGAAGCGAGTGTGGAATGTGGAACAGATTATCTGCAAAAAAAAAAAAAAAAAAACCACGCATGCAAATAAATACACCTTTCTCAGATGTCAAAACCTGAAAAGTTGATTTGAGAACTAAAAATCTGGAGTGAAGACCACCTCTGTGAGGACAAGATGCAACTGAGGTTCCATCGCGATGCAGCGTGTAATTATTGCAGCTTTCAAAGGCTGGGGTACCTGTTAACCCCTGTAGGTCTTCAGGAGCAAAGCTAGCAATTGTATAAATCTATAATGGTGAAGAGGGCTAACACAGCAGAGTACATGAGGAAGCTTGTGTCCTGACTAATCCTAAATTTGCCAAAGGATCAAAGAAAATCTAGCATAAGTTCTCCTGTTGAGTTAAATATAGATGAAAAATGAATCCTAGCTGTAGCTTGTTAGCTGTACTGTAAATTTTTTCAATGAAGTAATATGTTTTAGTTACAATTAAAGTGCTGGTTTTTTTATTTATTTAAAAAAAATGGTGGGGGATGGCAAAAACCCACCATTGCAAAAATAATTTGTGCTCCGTTACTTCCCCAATAACATAAACATATTCAGTGATGTTACATTCTCCTCAAAAAATAGTATATTCATTAAAATACGAATTGTTTTGGTCAGCTGTAACCTCTTCAGAAGATCAGCTGGGGGAAAGCAGTGATGGTGTGGTAGAGCTAGGAAAAAGGGGCTGGATTCCAGCTCGCAGCGCGGTGGTCATCCTGCTCGCCTCTGCCCTCCCAGCCCATGGGGATCACGGCCCTCGCACAGATGGGAAGGGGGAGCGCAATCTCCTCGTGATTTGAAGGGGAAAGGCTTCCTATTTTTCAGCTGGCAGAGGGGTGCTGCAATCCCATGTGTCCCATCTATCTGGATGGGTTTGGTTCTGACTGTGCTTTGGAGGCTGGGCCACTTAACAAGGAGTTTACACCTGGGTAAATGTTCTGGGGACAGATTAGTGTTACTGGATATATTAGTTATACCACTAATCCTTGTGCCAGTATTTTGTGCAAAGTGAATCTACCAGACTCAAAAGGAATTTTGAGGTAAAGGCTCAAATCTTTCTGCTGTAGAGACTTGTTTCTCTTTATGCTAGCCTTGTGAATATTTTAAATCTTCCATATAAAGTGAAAAGGGGTTGTTGTTATTATTACTATTTAATAAAGAACTCTTAAAATCCATATCTATACTGATAGCGCAGCTAACGCACTATATCAAAATTCAGGTAGTTAATAAGAAAATATGATAGTTTGTTTTCTCTGTTGTATAGCATTCTTGCAGTAAAATACAAAGTAGAAAATTCTGTAAACAACCAGTTCCAAGAATAATGTATTGAATATCTGAAACCCACTTTGCTAGCAGAACAGGCTTTGAGATCCCTATTTATGATGGAGAGGAATGGCAGGGCCTCTGTTGCTCTTGCCCAGTTTGTGGAACTGCATGTGCATCTTGTGTTTTTGATCGAGTGGTCACAAAATATTCATGTCCAGTGTGTTTAATTTTTCTCTTACCTTCCTAATTAGCACGGTCAAAAACTACATTCTTCTGAAACCACATATTCATAAGATTGTCTGTAAAATTATAGTCACACAGACATAAAGCTTCTTTGAAAGTTTTCCTCTTAGATTGGAGCCATTTCTTCCCGACGTCTATAGACAAGCCACTAACATAATAAACTGTGAAGTTCATGTTCCAAAGTGGATACTTAAACTTGTTTCTTCCATTTTTTCCAGTGGTATTTGATGACTGCCAGGGGAATAACAAATTGAACTTCGAAGTTTCTAACCCAGACTTCAAGGTGGAAAGCGATGGGTCTTTAGTTGCACTAAAGAATATATCGGAAGCTGGCAGAGCCTTGTTTGTCCACGCGCGGACTGAGCATGCTGAAGATATGGCAGAAATTTTGATTGTTGGAGCGAATGAAAAACATGGCGCATTAAAGGTAAGGTAAATAGACAGGACTGGAAGGAAGTGCCACGGAGATGCTGCTATGTGTTTAAATGCCATCTAGGACTGTAAGCAGCTCTAATCTCTTGGCAGAGAACAAAATTCAGACATTAAAAGATGAAATATGTCTTTGGGGGTAAATGCCAAATATTCACAAAGAATTGATTCAAATAAAAGAGCCTGAGGATCAAAATCAGCTGATTCTACTGGTGTACGTTATTCCCGATAACCACTGTTTGGCCATTAATGAAAATTGCAAAATCTTACTCTAAAGATGGAATTTAGGATTTCCAAAACCTTCATGCTTGGTCTAAGTCTAGGAGGAATGCGGGAGTGCATTCAAGGCTGTGGAGCACATATTTTTACATAGAAGTGCTTATATGGTACCATTAGCTATTAAACTACATAAACATCTGCAGGCAAATAATAACCCATATTTAAAGTCAGTTGATCTGTCTGTCTGTCTCTGCATTGGTGATTTTCTGTTCTTCTCTGCCCTAGGAATGCTATGTTCTTTCTTTCCAACTTCAGAATTACAGTGTGATACTAACCTCATAATATGGGAAAAAGTGCTTCGCAAATTGATTGAAACGTTTACTTCACACCCATGGGAGTGACAAAAGAAAACCTGAGATAGCCTTCATTTCTGTGCCATGGCATTTAGGAAAGAGGCAGGCAAGACAGTGACTTACTAGACAATTAAGCTTGGTACCTTTACAGACCTATAATTTCAAGGAAGTACAAAGAAGCCATAATGAGAATGACTGATCTATTGTCTTATTTTGGTATTTAGGCTTTCAACTGGCAGCCCTTTCATTCTGTTTCCAACAATAGCTTAGTGTAACTCAAGTTTTCCGTTAAAAAATTTTAGCTTTCAGGGAAGGGTTGAACAAACTGTTCAAAGGCTGTGGTGGAGGAAAGGTTTTGATCTGCACTTTAAGCAGCACAAGATATGAATATAGATTGCCAGTGGGGGGGGGGGGGGGAAGCATCAGAACGTGTAGCTGTGCAGAGAGCTGATCAGAACGCTTTGATGGAATTTAATTTTATTTAAATATACTATTTCTTCACAAAGTTCAATTTTAACAAAGCCATACTTGAGAGAGTCTCTTATGCTGTGGAGATGTGGATTCAGGACCGCGTGCTGCTGAATGTGGAGTAGGAAGAGTATGCTTGGAGGACCAGGGTGCTTGACTCTCCCATGGCTCTGGATAGCAAAATGTGTTCTTTTGGGTGTGTTCACAAGAACAATCAGACGGTTTTGTTTTCGCTCCAGGTTTCAAAACGTTAAACACTTTGAAAATGGGATTCATATTCCCCGGTTAGGAACTGCTGAAACCATGGAGGAGTTTGAGACAGCACTGCCAGCAGATGTGGAGTTAAACTTCATGGCATTGGTCTCTCCATGACAACCTGATTCTCATTTTTATTCTCGTTTTCTTAGAGAAGCAGCCCTTCCATTGTCTTCAGGGGGAAATTTGTATAAAAGTTACAGTTTGGGGAGATCTTGCGTTCTGAGTAGGAATGAACAGATATATCTTTGCATTGACTACATAGCTTTATCAATGAGCTTTTCTCTTTGCCTCCTGTTCCAGTTCTGGGTAACTTCTCAAAATATTCCAGCAATATTAATTAATGCCTAGTGTTGCAAGTTATCACCAGACTCCCTTCAGAAGTCAAATCTAATTTGGCCCCACTCCTGCATTCGTTTCCAACCACTTTGTTGCTCCAGAGTGAGAAAACCTGAATAAATCATCTGGTCTATTCTGCCACGTGCCAGTCTTCCCTCAATAGGTGGGTCCGCAGAGCAGCCTCATAAAGTCTTCCCCACCGGCCCTTCTCACTTCTTTATGGATTTTGATATTCAGCTTGTAACTAGAGGTTTGCCCTTTTACTACGATGATCTCTGGTGTCTGTGATGCCACTGGGAGTTAGCTGATACATTACTGTGTGCTGGGAAATCAGTATAGTGAAGATCATCCCCCTGCTTCAGGGGAATATCAAAGGGCCTTGAGGCTGGCTCCCCTACCCGGGCGGCCATCAGCGCTCTGTAGCTGTTAAAGCAAGGAGTTTTACCAACAGTTTTGGCTATTTTTTTGCCTATTTTACACATAATACAGACCTGTCTTTGTCATACTTGAGAAGGATAGAAAGATTAGTGTCCTATCTGAAGCGATTTTATGATAAATTTGAACTTATTCCTTACTTTTACAGTCTGAATGTGTCAGCATGGAAACAGCAAAACTGATCCGTCTGTTTATGCAAGGAATCTTGGCTATAAAATGCTCAGATGGAGCCTTAGTATCTCCGCATAATTCTATAGGGTGAAGATGAGCACATGTTGGAGCGCTGCTTAGCATTCAGGGCTTAGAGTACTGTACCTTGTTTAATTAGGGGATAAGTAGTTCTTAAGTATTTCCCGATTGCCAGCAACTGCCATTTCTTTTCTGAAAGTGCATAACCTACATCTGTGAAATCCCATTGTTAATGTTTCTAATTGCGATTTCCCAGCATGTTTGGAAATGACTGACAACAGCGGTCTCTAATGCTAACTGACAGTCTGGATAACTTCAGCTCTGAGCCTGGGAAGAGATAGCTTAATTCCTACACCTTTGAAGGGTGACTATTCCCGACTGTATTTTAGAGAGATATTGGAAACATTTAGAAGTGAAATCTGGAGTGTGCAGAATTGGTTTTGGCTCTCCAGTGGTTGAGGGACACAATTGTTTCCCACTGAAGATGCAGGAAGATTCCAGTTGGCCTCACTGATCAGATCTAAGTGATCAACTTGAATTGCTTTCATGGACATAACGTGGTCAGCAGCTGCTAGAATACCACCTTTTTATTTAACTCTGCCTCTTGAGTGTAGAAGGCATGCTTTCTTGCTTTTCTGCCAGAGACGTCTGGGCTCTGCAGAGGCTACAGCTTCCCATCATAGCGTGACTATGGCTGTGATGTGTGAAGGTGGTTCTTCAGCCTTGTTGGCCAATGTGTCCACTGCTTTCTGGCTGCAGAACTATGTCCAAGTGCTGGTGACAGAAGAGCAGGTATCACACTGCTGCCTTTTCCATGTCTGGAAGTTTCTGCAAAACACCATTGAAACCATAAGCGCCTGTAATATGCATGTATATCTGTAGGAACTTGAGAGCATCAGTCTGTTCCTGCTTCAGTCTTCAGTTAGATTCCTTTCTGCACCTTGCTATTAGTTCCCTTGGTTTTGGCTAGGAGTATTGGCATCTTTCTGTTGAACCATTAGACCAGGAGGAGGGCAGCAGAGGGAGCAGCCCTGTGGGAAGTACCACCCAGGATTCCCAACGTTTCAACTTTGCCTTTGTTCAGAATAACGCATAGGACTGTTAACGTTCAGATACTGAATGGAAAAAATAAATTGCTCATGAAATCTTAGTTCTAGTAGGGGGCAAACTCCTGACTGAGCTGATGAGTGGCGGTAACGAATGTTACTTTAGAGCTCGCACTGCAGAAGCGAAGAGAGTTACGCCTCTGCTGGGTGCTTTAAAAACAAGAAAATGTGAAAGAAAGTCCTGGTATAGTATAGTTAGCCAAAGGACAATATTGTTTAAAACTGTATCTCATCCAGTCCCTGATCCCTGCTTATTTTTACAGGAATAGTAGGACAATCAAAAGTTGGAAATTTTGTCATATCTTAGTATTTGATCAGATGTTAGTGGTTTTTTTTTTTTTTTAAGGAGTTTAGCATTGTGGAAGAAAGTATATCTAACCTTTTGTAGAGTCTCATAACAGTCTGTGAGTTGCAAAATGCAGCAAGCGAGCTGGGAATTGAATCTGCCTTCTCCAAGGCTAAATAAAATTATTGTTAGTCCTTCTCCCCTTCTGTAACCTAGTTGTGATTTTAATAATGATACTGTCAGTATATGGGGAACTAAAAGAAAACCTTGAGAAACAATCTTTCTCTGCAGATAGGCTTTTTGTGTATTGCAAATTCAGCCCTTTTTTCCCCACAGCAAAGGGGATTTTTTAGAACTTTTTTTGCTACAACATGACAGACACTGGGGGGAGGAAGAGGTGGGGGGGAAAGGGATGAGATATCAAGAGTCTGGCACCAAGGCAGACAAGAGGGCAGGTGGATATTTGGAAATGCCAGGCTGGCAGTGACCTCGCTCTGTGGTGCTCAGCAGCCTTCCATGCAGAAGGATGAAATAATTAAATAGCAACTGTCGAACCCTCAGGACACTTTTCAGGCACTAAATGGAAAAGAAGAGATAAGAGGGAGGTGCGCACTTGGAGACAGCATGTTGTAGACAAAGAAAGTTTAAAATCGTCTCCCGCAATAGCTCAGATTGAAGGAAACGAATTTGCCACAGTTCTGCTACTCTGGCCAATCCACTTGATGACAGCGAGGGGCTGGTCCAATACGCGGTGTGCGGCTTCCCTTTGTCAAAATACTGTTTTTCAACCCCAGTGACATGATATGCTTATTACTTTGGAGACAGGAGAGGCGGTCTGGCCAGGATCTTCTCTATACGCTTGGTAGACCCGAATTCTCTTTTCTGCTAAGTCTCTGCCTTGCTGGGTGCTTGTGCACATCGTTTTCAATCTGTGCCTCTGTTTCTTAAAGTAGCAAGCAGAAATAATGAAACTAAGCTCTTGGATTTAAATGTTAGCATTTCTTGTTTGTGTCTTACTCTTTGCTTTGTGCCTGCAGTATAGAGGTAGCAAATGTTATTGATATGAGATAAAAACTGCCTAGAGCCTTAAATCCTACATGCATAGCTTTATGCTTTAGAATAGATGACAAAGGATCAATAATCTTGTAATGAATCAGAGTTCTTTCGCAGAAAAGGTATTCATGCAAGTAAGTGAATAGTTAAGTTTAGATATCTGGCAGTTCAATAATTTATTTGGAAAATAAGGTCAAGGATCAGCCTCTCTGATATAGCAGACAATCACTCTCATTAATGTAAATTATCATTTTTCAGTGTATCAGTTTGGAATAGAGTTCCAAATGGGTTGAAA